TTTGGTTTTTGGGTTGGTTTTTTGGGGTCTTCGTTCCTTTCTCCACCATCTGTCTTTTCTTCCCTTCCTTCAACGATGACCTGGGCACCATGCCCACACGGCGTCCGTACTCGTGGAAAAAAAAGTGAGGCAACTCTCGAAGGCATACTTACCTGGTTGTGCCCCTGGTGCCAGGACACTGTTGTCCTCTGTCCCATGACTGGCCCCAACTCGACTTAGGGAGCAGCACTCTGCAAACACCCTTGGACCGCATCGGATACACCCCGGGGCGACGACCTCTCGCAGCACATAGCACCCTAGGAAAGCCCCTTCTGCCAGGCTTATGACCGAGGGCGGGAGTTTGACAATTTGTAGTTGCTGACACGCCTGCCAAGCCGCAGCTCCGACATGTCGAATGCCAGTTGTCACTTCTACATGCCGGAGCGAAGGTGCAGCATGAAATGCTCTGTCGGCAACGGCCCCCTGCGGGTTGGGCGGGACGCGAACAGCTTTGGGGTAGCTCTCCTTGCCGTCATCCTGGAACTGCCCGATGGAATGCCCATCTACCATGCAGGGACGAACGACAATTTGGAGCTGCGGTCGTGGCAGGAGCACAGTGCGGAATGCCTCTGGCAGGGGTTGCTGATTTTGGAGGTTGAGCAACTCCAGTTCACAGCCGAAGACATCTAAATCAGAGACTGTCGGCAGAAAGCAGAGAATGTCATCTTCAAGCTCTGCTACATCCTCATAGTGGGAGAGGTCTGTCTGCATTGCATATACCGTACCTGCTATGGTAACCAACTCGAGGTTGATCTCATAACGGTCTTGGGGAGTCGGCATTGTCGCGTAGGCGGTAGCTCGCACGTGCTTGCTATGTTTGCTTGAGCCAAATCACAGAGACACCGAAGAGATAATCTGTGCGAAACCTGTTATGACAATCAGGCCACAAGTAGGAGGGTGGCTAAGGCCACCCACCTCCTGGAAAGGATCAAGCAACTCGAAGACGTTTGTTGATCGGGATGAGTCCTACTGCCAACTACCTTACTGCCACCAACCGTAGGACCACCCATAGGGCGAGGGCGATGGGGAGGGCCTACTGTGCCAGGAAGGCCACGCTGCCGACGAGGAGCTTCCCGATTCTGGCGGGGAGACAGTTCGGCGAGCTTTATTACCTGGGTCAGTGGCTTCTTGACTATAGCCCATGTGGTCTCGAAGCGCCTGCTTGTGGTCCAAGAGTTGAAGCCTGAAATTGGGGTTCCCAGTGAGCCATACGCAGAGCTGGTCCCATCGTTCTTTGGTATAGAATTGTGTGCCATATTGATTGTATGGGCGATCTGCCATTTTCGGAGTGAGAGGATATCCATTCATCAGGCGGGGAGACAGCAGGTGCCATCCTGCGCGGGCCATGGCAACACGTAGCCCGGAGGTCAGCCACTGAGCCACGACAGCACTTTCTGCGTCAATGCTCCCTTGTTCAAAATTGCCGAGCGCCGTTGCTAATCGGGTATAGCCTATGCCGAAGCGTCCATATCCCTTGGCAAAGGTGTAGTTGGGTTCAGCCATCATGTCCTCGTCCTCCGTGGCCTCTTCAGTGCCAACTTCTGGTGGTTCAGCAAGCCCCACTGGCACAGGGAGAGCAAGCTTAGGCGACCGTTCAGCTGACCCTGTAGCGTCAGAGTCAGAGTCTTCTTCTGCAGGCAGGTCTGCATTGGGGTGTTTGGCAGTAGTCAGGTCTCGCCACAATGGGACTTCGATGCGCAGCCTCAACTGTAGAAGGGAGGGAAACGAGAAAGCTTGTCCCAAAGACGGGTCAAGGGCACCACTAAAGTAGGCTCTTTCTGCCCAGGACGTGTCCGGCATTCGGGGGTACCGGTCATAAACAATATCTTTGGTGTGCACTCCCACCACGAGCAAGGGGTTGTCCTCAGCATCCTCTTCTTTTGGCCGATATCCATAACCCCCTTTCACTTCCGCAGGCGTGAAGCCCTGCCGCTCCATGGCTACAACCAAGTCAGGCAGTATTTGTACTGGTAGATAGATAAAGAGGTCATTGGTGGGCAATGTCTGTTCCCCACGCTCCATTCCCCTAACAAAGGACATGAGGACAGTGCGCATAAAGGTGAGGGCATCAACGTCTTTTTCCTTCGTCGTCTGTGATTTTCCTTCCTCTACTTTTGCTGGTCCTGGATCCTGGTGTCTATGTTGATTATCAAAGGAACAGCACCGCGCAATGAAGGCCAGGAGGCCATATTGCCAGAATCGGGGGTTTGCATAGAGGGCGAGCTGTTTGTGAGCGATGAAGGGACATGCTAGATGTCCACTCTTCACAAAAGCAAAGAGGTTGGATAGGGGAGCAGCAAAGGCTTCACTTATACGGAGGAGATCCCCTATATAGGCCTGGTTGATTTCATCCGGAATGTTCACAAAGGAGGAGCCATGGAGTGCTTGTTCTGTCACCCTCCTCCAGAGGAACGTACGGACGAGGCGATTGATTTGCTTGCTGGAGATAGCAAGTCTCGCCATCGGCCATTCCCTAGGAAGGTCACTATAGGTCTGTAATGCAGGGAGCGGCGCCCTTTGCCTGGCTGTTTCGCTGGCCGTTCGAGCCGCAGATTGATAGTCGTATAGGGCCTGCATGGCTCTCTGCTCGGATTCCAATTGGAGATCAGTGTCGGCCGTGCCTCCACGCTCTGTATTCTCTTGATCACCGGCAATGTCGATTTCAGTCATCGCATGCGGGCGCTCTTGCATCGATTCAGGGCGGCCAGGTGGTGTCGTAGGATTCTTGCCAGCAGGAGCTACCGGATTTTGAGCATTCTGACTGGCCAAGTCTGCTAGTGTGGCCGGTGGTTGCTCATGTTCAGGAATGCTGCCGAGTGACTGCCTGGATGGTGGAGCAGGAGATTTCCGTAACTTCTTGGATTGAGCTCGCCCGGCACTGGCCTTGGACCCCGGTCTTCTTTTGATTGGGGACTCAGATGATTGTGATGTGGGGCTGCTACTTGGGGGGTCCACGTCCTGTGGTGGTAGCACGCTTCCTGCATCATCTTCTGCGTCCAGCATTTCATCTCTCGTGGGACATGCATCAGGAAAGGCCGGACGATTGCTAAGGCAATCACCCTCTTCTTCTACAGAGGAGGTGCTAGCACTAGCATCATCTGCCATGTGCGCATCGGCTTCCTCCGGGTGCTCTGTGCTCGGAATGGTGGGCGACTTGGAGGAGGAACTGTGGATTGAGACTGCTTCATTTGCGTCTTCCTCAGCCATATCCGCATCTGTCACCGCAAGGGAGGTCGGCGATTCTCCCTCTCGCAGCGCTTGTTCCTCTTTGTCTGGGTCACGGTCAGAGATAGAGAGGACCTCAGGTGTCTGGTTCGGCCGAGGCCAGTAACAGCCATGCTCTAAAAGGCCTGGTTTCGGTGGAAGGACAAGGTCAGATTCAGGGGCATCAAGGACTGGCTGCACTCTCCACGCGTCGTAGAAGTACACCCGGTGCAGTGCTTCAAAGGTATAATCTTGCGCACTGCGCTGCTCACGCGCGCTTGGCGTTGGTTGATAGCGGAGGGAGCTTCCCACGCTACATCGTTGCCCTGGGCCAGAGCTGTTGTGGAGGAGTCGCCAACTTCCTGGCTGCTGCCCATCCGTGATGACTAGCCACTCAGGCTCGAGCGAAGCATCAGCTGCGTAACCATACACCAGGTCATGCAAAACCGTACCACCAGGCAGGTAGGGCCCTTCTACGAGGCTGGTAATTTCCGCTTTGGTCAAGTGCGTAATCGTGGCTAAGACGAGGCGTAAGCGCCTCACCTTGCCGTGATGGTGTTCTGCGAGACAGACCGGCAGAGGGCCGAGCCACATTGGATGGGGCAGAAGCGCATGTTGGAAGAATGTCGTGGCTTGCGCAACCTGAGTGACTCGAAGGTCCAACGAGCCGAAGACAGTAGGCTCTTCATTGCTGTCATAGGTATATATTGTTTGGACACCATGCAGGAGGGCGGCTAAGACTTGCAGGGCCCCAGGCATTCCTTGCATGTTCAATGGGCATGCTAAGATGGTAAGATCAGTGGCTCGGCTGTATGCCACGTTCGCTCGTGTGAAGCACTCCTGGTCGTAGTCTAGGTGGCGTCCTTCACCACTGAGGAATGTTGACACACCATGAATGACGATGCAATGCTTAGCCGTGGCGCCTGCCACCTTGACTGCCGTCTCTGCATTCGCCTTCTTATCGGCAATGGAGAAATAATTGCGTAGGTTCGTGGCCCCTTCACGAGTGGTTGTAAGGGCCAAGATGTCTCCCGTGTCAGAGCCTGCTTTGGCGAGTTGGTCCTCGAGGTGTTGATACACTCTTACCGTAGGGTCGTTGTTTGGGTTTTGCCGTGCCTGCAGATTGGGCGAAGTATGGCACCAGTGGACAAAGCGTAGGCCTGTGGCAATCCGTTGATCCTCTCGGATTGAAAGACTTTTTCTGGTCAATGGGTGTTCCAAAGTGATTGGGTGTTCCAAAGCTCTTGTTGCTTTGCTGCCAAGATGTTGACAGCCAACATATGGAACTTGGAAAATAGTTGTCACAAAAGTTGCTGGCCGACTTCAGTGCTAAGCGCTTTGTCAAAGCTAAGTCTTTGTCAACGCGGTCGTCTTGATGATTGCAGATTTAGTGAACCATCATCTTGAACCACAAACAGAACTACACAGAGTTTCCCTACATGTTTCCCTTTGTTTGTTGTGTTTCTTGCGTGCTTTAACTTTGTGTTTTTTCACGCAAAGTAATCACAGAAAAGTCATGTGAGATTTGTTGCTCTCCAGAAGTTTGTTTTGTTGTTTGTTTTTTTTGGTGTGGGGCTGCGGTGGCAGCGATTGCTCAAACCGGTCGCTGTGGTGGGACGTTGGCGCTTCAATGTGCACGGCCCTCAGTTACCCTCAAACAGAACATGAATCAGTATGAAGCCCTGATGCTCGCAGTTCCAGTGAGTGAGTCATTTTCATGTCAAACTTTTACTTGCCAATCGAGCTGCTAGCTTTTGGTTCAAGTTGCTGTGCTTTAGTGCACCTAGCATGGTGTGCCACCCGTGGATGTTGGAACTTTTGCAGCTGATGCTCTCAAAGTTCTTGGGGTCAACGCCTCAAGATGTCAGAGACCGCTTTGTGGATGACCTGGAAAATTTGAGGGAGGTCACCTACAGGCTTGCAAACTTCTGCGGCCCGCGTGTGGAGTGTGGCCTCTGGTCTGTGCTCACGGCTTTCAGAGTGGCTGTGTATGATTACAATCGGGATGGCTACTTGCCTGATGAGCAGCGTCTGTGTAAGTACATTGAGGAAAACCCTTGCGCGGTGAAATGCCCCAGGGCGCCCTTGACAGCTTTGTCGCAAATGGATCCGAACTATTTGTACGTGTTCGTGGATGACCTCGGCCTGGCAGTGAATATGTTGAGGCACCTCCACTGCTCCTGCAAGACTCATCCAGTTGAGCCTGTGGTTGAAGGCATCTTGTTGTTTTTTGAGGACGCCGAGCATTTTCTGCAGACGCGAATGATGGTGCTTGGACGGCGCCGTGAGGCAGGATGGTGACTGGTGGCCACATCGCAACCACCAGTATCACGCACCGGGTTTTAGCTAGACTAGCAGCTGGACAGCTGGACAGTCGAACGAATTATGAGGCAAAAGAAACGAATTCCAGTTAATGATTAGCAAGTGGTCTGTTCGACGCTCCATTTTTGTGTACAAAATTCAGACCCGCCTTTGATTTCAGGTCGGACCATTGGCCAACAGTAGAATTTCCATGTCTTGGCCATTGGCTGGTGGCCTCCTCAGTTATTACAATCTGGACACTTTAAACCTTGTTCGGCAACAGTTTGATGCTGCGTGGCTAGCTAGCGGGTCGATTCTACCATAATGGTGGGGCTCGACGAGCGCATGGGCTTTCTGAGGTTGAGGGGCAGTGAACCATCACCGCGCAGGTCTCATACTCAGCCGGGTACCTGATTCGAAGCTTACTAGACGTGTTTAGTCAATGTCGTTGTGAGGGATTGCATGCAAGGCGAAAACAAAAAAGTGTTCGACATCCTTTGGCCAGGACTGCAGTCATTAATGTAGAAGCCAACATCGTAGTTAATTTCAGAAAGCATTATTTCCAAGTGTTTGCGTGGCCGGGTATTATGTGAAAAGCTCAGCCAATTTTGCAGGACTCGGTGCTGGCACGTGCCCCGCGTTGATGTGTTGTTCAGATTCCGATGTTTAAGTAGATCTATCTTCAGAGCTTTGGGCGCTAAGCACAGCAACCTTATGGTTCCAGCATTCTCGCGCATTGCATACCCACAATCATAATGAGTGATTTTGGTTCAGAGATCGTTGTGATCAGCTCAACCTGTGGCTTTGTCATGCCGGTGCGGGCATCTGTGAATGAGCTTTCGGAGAGTGAGCCGAGTTCCAAGTTTTTTGCAGATAGTGTTGCCTAATGTAAGAGAGGGGTGGGCTTCTGCCTACTTTCTATTTCTGTGAGCTTTCAGATGCATGAGGTCAGAGATGCAACAGGCAACTAACCAGGTTGGATGCTCCCTTCATAGTCGCCTTCGTTTCTTCATCAACAGGTCGCAGAATGTTTTCTTGTATGCAGGTTTCTCGAAGAAGACCAGCCCCTGTTCAGAAGAGGCACCTCAAGTCGAAAGAGCCAGTCCAGCGTTTGGCAGACATGCGTTGGAAGCAGTCAGGGGCAGTTGCTTTTCCTAGTTGTGCGACTGTGCGCAATGTGTCACGCTACAGCACTTTGCTGACACCATACCGTGTGCCTCTCTTGAAAGCCAAAGCGCTGAACCTCAAGGTGGCCGCAGTCCCAGGGGTAGGAGGAGCCTGGCTGACCAAAGAATTGTGTTTGTTGAGACAAGGATTCATTTTTTGGCATCGAATTTTGCAAGCGTTCCTTTTTTGTTTGCAGTGGGGTTTGGCTTGAGGTCCACACCTCGAGTAGCAGCTGTAGCAAGAGACAGCGGCAGACTCCGAAGTCTGGAGTGTTTCGGGGCTCCAGAGTGTTTCGGTCGTGGAGTACAATCAGCTTTCGGCTTAGTTTTATCCATTCTTCTGATTTCCTTCGTGAATTGACATCCCGAGTGCAGAGTGTGCTCATCAGGATGCTTCTCAGCCACGGTTCGGTCGTCTCCAGATCCCAGCAACCGCGGAATGGCAGTCCCAGCCTGAGAGCCGTTGATGGAAAAAAGTATGAGAATTGAAATTCTGTTGAGGACCTCGCAAATAGAATCAGATGGAGCGAAGCCTATGCAAAGGCTTGTCAGACAGCCAATGTGCAACCTGGTGTCTATTTGACGCTACCTGCCGCCGAGTGGTTTTCTGGCCTCCCAGAGAATTGGACGTCGCTCGAGGGTCAGGTTTGCAAGGAAAGATTCAGCAAGATGTTCCCAGACATCCATTCGAAGGACGGTGTTTACATGACATGCGAATGCTGGTTTCCTGTTCTGATTTAATTTGTTGCTAGCCAAGCAGGAAGGGAAGCTGGGCTGTGTGAGCCTGTTTAGTGGCTGCGGTGCATTGGAGCTGGGGTTGTCCCGGTCTGACGCTAAGCGCTCTTAGTGGTCTTCTTTCCCAGGAAGTGTTTTGTGTTTGGCAAGAGTTTATAGAGCAATTATGACACTCGCGATGATTGCTGTTTTCGGCCTGCAGGCACTGTTCATGTCGATGCGTATCACACATTTTGTACATGGCGGTAGTCAAGTGAAACCTTTTCATCGTGTTTGTGCAACCCAGCTTGTAGTGCCAGAAACGATTTCATGGCGCTCCCGTCCGAACGCCGCTGTGTTGACCTGCACACTTCAGAGCCGGCAGAGCTTGAGCCTGACAATGAGTGTCAAGCACGACAAGGATCCCTAGGTGTGGTCAAGACAATTGGCATCAATCAAGTGAGGAGTCTTGTTGGCATTGTGTATGTCGTATGCATGGCTATACTTTTCTCAACCCTTTTCTGGTTGAATTGTTGCGTTTGCCGAGGATCCAGGTTGGCTCTAGCGTGACCACTAAATGGCATGGAAAAGAGTCAGGCGCTAAGTAGACAGCTTTTTCCAAGCCTTGCCAATGTGGTTTTTGCCAAGGTGGTTCTGGTGTTGGGCAAGTCGCCAATGGTTGGAAATACGGTGTCATGTCCTCAAGTCCTCAGCTTTTTGCTGTTCCATCCTGTTCTTTCCTCTTCTGTTCCAGTCTTCTCCCCTCCAGGATTGGCTTCCCGATTGTGTGGACAGCGTCAGTTGGGGAGCAGTGGTGCGCACGATCTGTTTCACCGCCAATGGAGGCATTGAAAGCCACAGGAAAAGTACATCAACCGAAACATGCACCAATAGTATTTGAGCACCTTAAAAGTGGTATCGCTTGACAGATGTTCTTAGTACAATACCAAGGTTCATATGGGCAACGGACTACGCAGAACACTCAGTTCATCCCAATCGCAGGTTCATCGGATTTTTTGGCACACTATTTAGTGGCTTCTGTTTGAGGTGGAGTGCAACCCCTTCGCCGCCAAGGTTCTGGAAAGGAGGATGCAAGAGGGATTGTTGCGCGTAGGGAAGGTGCATCCTGATGTGAGCACGTTCAAGGTTCCAAAAAACACCCAAGCATGTGGAGTCGGTGGTGGGTTCCCATGTCAGGCAGGCTGAAGTGAGCGGTGTGTTCTTTGTTTCCTTCATTTCTTTGCAGAAGCTTTTGGCAGGGAATAAGTTGCGGTGGAAACCAGAATGGACTAGCTGATCCACGGACGGGCTTGTTGAAGAAGGTCTTTGATATTTTCGATGACCTCCCCCTTTCGCGAAGGCGAGCACGGTTCAAGGGACAGTTTGGTGCAGATTTCTCAGCGGAGGTGTCAGATTGTGTGCCAATGAATGGAAACCAGGCAGTTTATCTATTTGGAGAACGTCAAGAGCATCCTATCGAAGCAGGAGGACATGAAGAAAGTCATGTACTTTTTGACGAAGGCGCGCATGTTCGATTCAATGTATGTTTGTTGAGCACACTGTAAACATTGGGCTTTCAAAGTGGCTGTGCACCTTTGGAGATCGAGGCTTGCCATGACCGTCGTTTGAAGTTGAGCTGGGCCAGCGTCAGCCTGGAGAACGTTGGCCTTCCTGTCACTTAGCTTGAACCAATCGCGATCGCAGTCATGCAGTTGAGCAAGGGATTGAATTTTACGCATCAGAAGGTCTTGCAAGCTTGAGGTTTCAATGTGCTTTTTGCGTCTTCAGGTTTGAGTGAACGCTTGCTTGGACGCAGGCTCAGCGAAGGCGGACCTTCTTCTTCGCAGTGGCAGATGGCCTGAAACTGTTCCAGGACCTGTTGCTGCTTGTAGTGTGCACCGATGCTAACAAGTCACCCGCAGGACTTGCCCTTGCAGCCCCTGAACAAATTTTCCCAGGAGCCGTTCAATCCTTTGAACTCCTTACCATTGCACGCGTGGCTTACAAGTAAGAAGCCCACGCAGGACGACCAGGAGCGCTTAAAGATGCTAGGAAATGTTGTTGTGCCACAATGTGCGCAGTTGGCAGGCAGCATTTTGCATCATGTGATCATGTGTCCGGAGAAGTAGAAATTTTGTGGGTGTGTACTGTCCTGTGCTGGACCCCTACAATGATCCAGGGAGCCTTTTCCCAATAGCACCAACAAGAGTTGTGGCTTTGTCCTCTTGCTTTGCAAGTCCGGGCTCGATGCTTTCAGCTTGATGCGTGTGTGCAAAATTCACAGCGGTGTGGTTGTTTACAACCAAGCTTCTAATTCAACGAGATCTTTGCTCACCATCGCTGCAATGGACGAAAGGGTTTGCAGCCATGTGCCACGATTCACTGGATTTAACTTCATTTGTGGTTCACTCAGCAAGGCAATGAAAGCAGACCCCCCGAAGTCCGCCCCTAGCCCCTCGAAAACTTGTGTTTGAGGGGTGCTTGGCGGGGTCCGTTTAACAAGTCGAGAAGTGTGAAGTAGCATTGATTCTCAATTTTTTGTGCGCAGTGGGTTCGAAGCAGGTGATGAGATTTGAGGTCAATGGGCGTCTTCATATATTTCATGAAGTGTGCTTTCATACGACTTTACAATAAACTTGTCATGATTCAGGAACAGAGGGATTTCATGGGAGGTTGTCAATGTTGGAGGTTGTTGTTATTCTGGTATGTATGTTTGAGTGCTGTACGTTTTGGAGCCTGATGATGTTGGCGCCGTCGGTTGCCTCATCGCGGATATGGAAGAAGAAGCGCAGATTCCTCCAGTCACCACTCTGAGTGACAGTTCTGAAGAGGTCGCCCCTCCTCCAGCTCCAGCTCATGGTATAAAACGGAAACGCGACAAAGGTGACGGTTCAAAGAAGAAGCCTTCAAGTGACGATGTTGTTAGAATCCAATGTATGCTTGGGAAAAAGGGTCATTGCAAGAAGAATTGCAAACATCATTTTCGAGGGAAGCAAGGCTTTGAAGAGCTGCGCCAGTTTCGGCGCGAGTGGAGTCAGCTTCATAAGACCGACCAGGATGAGGTCGTACCTTATTCGCTGCCTGTGCACGTTTTGTTTGGTTGGAGTACCTGGGAGGGCCAGTGGTTTGCGTCTAGTTTGATGTAATGCTGGGCCCAGGCATTCAAGCGTATGCAGGAGATCGTCGACAGTCGCAGCGAGGCCGGCCGCACTCAATGGACCTTCTTGTCGAAGCATGTTTGTCTACGATGTTGGAAGGCCCTGATGGGCTTAGGATTCTAGCTGTGTGATGAGAATTGTTGGCGTAGTTTTTATTTTTGGTTTGTGTTTGAATCTTCTATCCGAAGCGCGGCTTTGTTTCTCCTAATGGAAAAATGAGGAAATCGAAGATTCCGAAAACTATACAATGCAGTACAGCAGGGGCAGCCCAAAGCTCCATTCGACTTGAGATACATGCTGAGATCGCGAGTTGGGAGGGGATCCGCGCATGACGAGTGTGTGACCGAAGTCCTTTCTTTTCTAGAGCAGATCTATACATCGGTCGCAGAGACATTGCCCGACGTACGGGATGACACGTACGATGGACCGACTTCAGTAAGGGCGGAAGATTGTGTTGACCTCAACTTGTGTGCCTCTGAAACTCCTTCAACGGAGGCGGGCGTGAAGAATGCAAAAGTCAAAAAGCATCAACGGGGTGTCCCAATATTCCCTGGTAGATCAATAGCAGAAGGATGCGAGGAACGGTTTCTCCCAGCTGGAACGTTCAAAGAGTATTGGATGCAATACCGAAACCAAAGCCAGTCGCAGAAGAAAGCGTCGCTGCCAACCTTTTGGCGAGTTGCTTGATAGTGTTTAGTGTCAGTTTTACTTTTGCCTCCAAAACATTGAGCAGCAGGTTTAGGTCGCTCTTGCCGCGGTGGCAATTGTTGCCAACAGATCGTGAGCTTAGGCATGGCAGTCGCATTACTCTTTCATGAAATTCAGAGCTGCTAGTTCCCACGCACAGTGCAATGAGTGCATAAAACACAAGAATATCATCAGTGGCTTATCCCACCATCTCTGTGCACGACGCGTCCAACAAGACATGCTATACAGCCACTTACAAAGCCAATTTAGAGACAGAGTATCCTACTGGCAATTACGAGGGGCGGCGAGATCTCGCGCTCTCGAGATCCTCTTCATCCAGGATGGCATGGACCAATCAAAGTTCATGGTGCCTCGTCATGCGCTCATGCGAGCCAAGGCATACGAGTCCTTCATTCGCCCGAAACTCCATGTGGCAGCAGTCATAGCCCATGGAAGGCATGTGGCTTTCTACGTTTCGGAGGCCGACTTGGCGAAGGACAGCAACACGTCGTGCGAGATCCTTGCCCATTCTCTCCAGCAACTGGCTACCTCTGGCGTGCAGTTGTCAGATTGCAACGTGACGTTGCAAGCTGACAACACCAGTCGAGAGGTTAAGAACGGAATCTTAATGAGATACGTTGCAAGCCTGGTGAGTGATTCCATCATCCGCACTGGAAGACTGTCGTTCCTGAGAACAGGACACAGTCGTGAAGACATCGACCAACTATTTGGTCAAGTGGCTTCGTGGGTGAAACTTAAAGTTCGATCTGCGCTTACATCCGATGATTTTGTGCAGGGACTGAAGCAATTTTGCGCGCAGCTCGAACGACCCTATGAGCCGAACCGGATGGTGATCAAGCTTGATGTCACGAGGGATTGGTGCTTTGTTTGTATTACACTGTGCCTGAATTTTTGGGTTTTCCCGCCTCGAACTCTGAAGTTTTGAGGCCAATTATTTCTTGCAAATCTCGCTGCCCGCCAAGCTTTCTTGTTGATTCATGCAGGCGTGGGTGGCTTGCAGAGTCCATGCCAGTAGCCCTCAGGGGCATCGGGGGACCAGGAGCACCCCATGTTCTACATTTTTGTCGGCGAGTGGATGCAGGCTCAGCTCTGTTATTTGTTGTTTTGACACACCAACCATCATGGTTCATCTATGGAATAGTTAGACAGGTCTTCCAGAGCAAGAGCAAGACCGTTTCTGGCGGAATGTTCAGCCGCACCCGAACGATGTGATATTGAGGCGAGATTTGTTTTCAATGAAGTTCTGAGCGAGTGAAAACTTTGTGGGCTATTCTACTCTTTTCACCTTTCCAGGACAGCGCAGTGGATGCACCAGCGTGGCTTTTCGGCAAACTTCTTGTTTTTGCCTCGATTGTGGGCTTTGCAGCATTTGCCGGTTGGACTTCCTTCAGGCGTAGTGTTTTTGTATCCTGTGTTCAGAGAGTGTCCAAGGATGTTTGCAAATCTTGTGGGCAGTGCAGCTTGTAATTTTGAGACACGCCGCCCTGTTTCCCAGTTATGGCTTCTCCGAATGAGATTCCAGTCGCCTTCCAAGAGCAGATAGCCAAGTTTTTGCCAATCCTGCGGCTGCCTGAATTTGGTTTGGATAGAGCTGCGGACTATTTGCAAAGCTGGTGTGAAGGCACCTGGACCCGGCAGCCTCCTCTAGACCTCAGTGAGTGTTTCGCCTTCGAAACTGGAAACCTTAAAACACCGGACCGGGGTTGCTTCCAGCGTTTGGAAACGTGTTCCGCGCAGCGCATCGTAAACGAGCAGGTATTTTCAATATAAGGTCGTGCCATGGTAGATACGCCGCCGCCGCCGCTCCGTCCCTGACATCTCAGGACTAGACTTCGACGCAGCCAAGAGCGACTAGTTGATCAAGTCGATGCATTTTGCAGGACTACCCCTAAACATGAAACAACAAACAGAGGGTTTAATGACATTAAGACTTCAACTTCAAGTCGCTCTCCATTTTGTTGTTTTTGTTTTCTTTTGGCACCTTCATTTTGATTTTGTTGCCAACGCATGTCAATGATACCGAGAGACATTTGGGCAGGACGACAGCTTTTGAAGTGATTCCCAACCGGCTAGCGTTTCTTGGTTGGGTTGGCTACTTGAACCTGCTTTTATTCCATTCTTAGTCCTTGTGATTTTTGTTTGAGTATTTGTTTGGAAGTTAGGTTGCAGCTGCCTAGCAATTACCGGAACGAAGCTCGAATGTACAAAGACAGATCGATCTACCAAGCCGCTGCCAAAGTGTGGGCAGAGGGAGTGCCATGGCCAGAAGCCTTGGAGATTTGTAGAGCCGCTATTGAGAAAATTTCCCCAAAGGGGAAGGGCAAAGGGAAAGCGAAAGGTGGGCGCGCTGCCAAAGGCAAAGCGGCGCCCAAGGCCAAGGGTAAAGGGAAGGCTAAGGGTTGATGTATGTTTAGATTTCTTTGTGAGCTTGATGATGAAAATTGACATTGGTTTTGCGGAAGCCTAAACCCTAAACAGTACGGCAGTTTAGAAATTTAGGAGCGGCAATTCGCTTTACGCAGCTTGCGTGCTTGAATGTGGGCCCCAGCTGCAGAATCAGTCACATAACAGGTGGCTGTGTTGGCAGCGCGAAGAGCTACCGATCTCACCTGAGATTGGTCACCCTAAGGCTGGTTTTTGCTTGAGTACATCACTATATATTTTTTAACGGAAGTTTCAAACAGAATTAAATAGAAGGCTTTACGCACCGATCCTACCTGAGATTGGTGAGTCGGTGGCCCTCGAAAAAAAAGCAGCCTGGGGTGACGGATTTCCTGGCAGCCGCTAGTTTCTTGAGTGTCGGATTTCCAACGGACGGATCCTACCTAGGATTGGACGCACCAACTCTAGTTTGGAAAAACCAGTTTCAGCGAGTCATTGGGTTTTGATTGTCAGAAGTAGTTGTGTCGGATTTCTAAGTGTCGGATTTCGGAGTGACGGATTAGTGTCGGTTCGGAGTGACGGATTTGGATTTAAGTGACTTGGAAGTAGTCAACTGTGCTTTTAGCTGCACTGGGTACCATGTCTACAAACAATGGCTTGTAGTGTTCAAGTTCAAGCTTTGGCAGACTGGGCGACTGGGTAACCTTTGGGGCGATGGTGCCTAAAAAACGAAAGTCAGGTGGTCAGGATGGCAGTAGCGCAAAGGCACTGAAATCCGCGGAGACGACTGCGACCGCAGACGAGAAATTTGAATGGGTGCGCAAGTTGACGAAATGGCTACTTGGTTTAATAAGTATTAAATACAACAATGGTTAACCAAGAACTATGCACGCAAGTTATGTTCTTTTGAAACGCCGTGTCACATTGGAAGCTCCATCAACCAACGTTTGTCCAAAAGTTTGGATTCTCAGGTTTGAAGGCCATGTTCTGAGTCATGGGGGCGCCGACGCGTACTTGACCACCAAGTACCCGAAGGAGGCAGAGTGTGGCATCAAATGGCAAGTGCTTTGTGAAACGGTGGTGGTATAAACACACAAACACACACCTTCGATCGTGTGATGGGAGTATTATGTTACATGTTTGCGGAGGCAGACAAGTTGTTGTTTGCCAAATGGATCGATGAGTTCTGTCCAGCCCATGGATCGCTGGGGGCTGAGTTCTTTTTGCGGTGACGGTGGATCCTCTACCATTAAGACTCGGTCTGTGGTTGTTGACGGCAGGCTCACCTACTGCACGGACAAGAAGGCCCCTGGGGTCATCAGACCCTGGCAGTGCGGATGGCGGGCTGATTTCAGCCTTTCTGCTACGGTAGAACCAGACGTGGCCACAAATCTCATGGAGCTGATTTGTACCAAAGGGTTGCCAAGCTACGAGTGTCCGAGGTGTTTTGTTGGCGATTGTTTTGCACGGGGATTGTTGTTTGGGTATTTTGGTATGAAAGTACCGAGGTTCCTGTCAGATGCCAACACAGTAGGGATTGGCAAAATTGCAGCTACGGATGTGCCAAACGAATTCTTGGAGAACCCGTATACAGAATGCAAAGCCTTGGAGCCTTACAGTTCTTCGGCTTTGATAGAGACATGAAATTGAAAAGAATAGACCTTGATACATAATCAAATAAATTTGTGAAAAAGATAGCCAAGGCCACTTGCTTAGACCGTTCAGCGTGGCCTACGTAAAGGGCTACAAGCGATGCTTGGTTCTGCTCATCACACTCCAGGGAATCAAGGAACTTCAGTTGGAATCAGAGGTTCCGCAGCATGTCAGAGCTTCTAGGTTGACTAAATAGTCGAGTTTGCAAGGTGGAATTGGAAGGCAATTTCACCACTTTTAGGTTATGGTAGCTACTGGAGAGTAATTTGCATCGGCGCTTGATGTCAATCTGCCTAGGCTTCGATGGGAGCAGTGCACGTGTCGTTTGGCAATTTCAAAGACGTGCGCAGTCAGGTGATGGCGAACAGAGGCTTCATAATAAGTGGTCGCCCGCCCGTGCGACGCTGGTGAATATGTTAAATGTGTTCATTCTTGAATATCACGAAGCTTCCAGTAACGTGTTTGGTTTGGGATATTATAGGTTTGTACCACTGCAGAGTTTCTGAAGAGGCCGCCGCTTTTCCTTCCAAATTCCATCGGTTCTTGTCGCTGGCAGGCGCGCGCATGGCGAACAACGCCACGCGGAGACCCTTGCACTGCTTCAACATTCTTCGCCAAATCAAGGTGTTGAAGAAAGCTGGCATGGGCTCCACAGAAACCCAAATGAAGGACATGTGTGAGTGCCGTGCATGTTTTCCGATGTTGTTTTTGAACTCGGTTTTGACGCTGCTCAACGTTGATGGAAGTGACGGACCTTTGTTGTGGCAGGATTGGAAGAACGCCGCCGGCTTGGCAAAAGCGTTTTCCTTAGGCAAGATGGAAAGCGATGCCGTCTTTGCTTTGTCGACAGATGTTCCAGAGCCTATTTGTTCTGACCTGGAACGCCTTGTCACCACGCGTGGCATGGGGCGTTTCCTTCACCACGATGTGATAGGAAAGGGAACCTTCAGCAAGGGGTGGACTAGCGGTGTGGGGTTGGCTGAAAGTTGGTCAGAGCCATTGACGAATTTGCCTCGAGATTTCACACTGGCTACTCGGCGTGAATTTCTCAATGTGATTCTTCGGAAAGGTTGAAAGGTTGGCTTGAAGCGCAGACACGTGTTCAGCGCATTCGTTTTAAGAAAAACAGCTGCTTTATTAATCGATGTGGTTCTGTTCAGACAAGTACGAGCTACCATTTGTAGGGGGGCGAGTCTCTCGTTTCAGGTGAAACTTTACATTCAGCGCTTGACTTCTGACCACGATGCAACTGCCATGCAGCTGCGCCGAGCTGTGAGCTTCAAAGATGCGACGAAGGTGCATCAAGCTTGCGGCGCGTTCCTTTTCTTCTTGTCCAAGTTGCAAGATATGGCGCCTGAGAGTGAGTTCATCAACATGAAGACGGAGCTTTACACCCAGTTCAACGCAGGGCTTCTAGATGCTGACCTGCAGCACGCTGTGGAGAACCATGTTCCAGCGAGCGCAGACTTGTGCACCGTTGCTGCTTTCAGGCCTGTCTCGAAACAATAGGACATTGAAATTGCTAGTTCCACAGCGTGTTAATTAGGTGTGCGGGAAGACCGCGGGCACTGAGTATTGAGTATAATCATGTGGTTTGCTTTCAGGAAAATGTTGGACATTTTCTTAACTTTTGGGTTTGCTGCAGGCCCTACGTTACCAAGATCGAGCGGGGCAAAACCGAGGACAGAGAGCAAAAGGTCAAAGAGCTGGCTCAGCAAGTTGCAGCTGCCAATTTGGTCCATGTGAAGGCGCAAATTGCAGCCGACACTGATACGTTGCGGGCCAAGTTGCCTGGAAAGGCTGAAGCCTTGGCTGAGCACAACCTTGACATGAAGTATCTCCGAGATCGCCAGACGAATCTTGACGTTGCTGTATAGGATTGAAGCAATGAGGGGAAGACTTGCCAACAGGTAAATTAAACACAATTTTGTTTTTGGATGTCGTGTGCAGTGTGTGTTCCCAGGAAAGGACGCAAGTATGCGGAAGAGTTCATGGCCGAGAATGTGCTGCTTGTTCCTGTCAGCGAGGACATGGCTGCAGGCATGCCCGCGTTTCTGGCCTTCTTGGAAAAATGGCGTGGGATCGCAGGGACTGTGCGCCTTTGTTTGTATTGTTTTCAGATTTTGCTTTTTGCTCAGAGTTCCTGAAGCTTGGGTGAGGGCTACCGCGTAGTTAGCATGATGAGTGTCATTCATGATTCGTTCCAGAGGGAGTAATTTTTCTAGGGGTTGAAGAACTTAAGGGTGACCATCAGGTGTGAAAACCCACATGAACAGCTTTCCTCTCAGGTATTGCATCGCTGCAATGGACATGACGCTCTACCCGGCTTTTGCAGCCTATGTGAAGAACGCGTTCCAGATCTTGGGGTCAGTGACAGCGATGTCGCCTGGCCACTGTGGCTTCATCATGCTCCCCGTGTTTCAGAAGCAGACCACAGATGTGGCTCGCATCAAGCACAGAAGGGCCATAGAGGACTTTCTGATCAAGGGAAGCATGTCCTATGGGCAGGAGGTCGCTGTCCTGTACAACAAGCCAGATTCTGGACCACGCGATGGCCGACCCATGTCACAGGTTTGTGTGCTCACCTGGCATACTTCTTACAAAGACAGCAGCCCTTGGTCTGAGAGCGACGCCATGACAAGTGGGCGAATTGGCCCATACCCATTGATCCGCATATCAGACATGGTGGGCTACGACGAGGCTACTCGTCCCAGTGCCAGCGCCCGCGTGGAGCAGACGCGCAGCCGGTTTCAGTTGTACAAGGTTCCTTTTCTTTTGGTCATGTCCATATTCATAGCGACAAGAAAACAGACGGCCTAAATTTTACAGTGTGTTTGAGTCCTGAGTGGTTTCTTGTTTGAAAGAGTGACTGTTTGCCTTGCCCAACGCGTTCCCAATCCAATGGGTTTTGCTTTTGATTTCAGGAGAGGAGTTGCTTGTGCTTCGCAATTGATGGAAGGCTTGCTTGAGGGCATGTCTGTGCGAGACACGGACCGCGTAGTCTGGCTGGACGTGATCCCTAACAGGCAGGCTTTGCAAAAACTACAAAACATACGGTAGGGTCTTATTGTGGGGTCTCATGCAGCCGGAATTTGTTCACAGATTGAAAAAGATTGACATCGGCCCTTCATCGTTCCACACTTGGCCAAATATGTTTGTGGCGCGTTGCAGGCAAGCAGAGTTTGCAAGGGCCGCTTTGGCAAAGTTGTTGGAGTCACCGAATGCCACCAAAACCGCGAAGTATGTGGGCCTCGTGCGTGAAGAGAAGGTGTCGGAGTTGAGATCTGCCTTAGAGAGTCAAGTCTACAACTGGTGGGAAACTCGCCTCTGGTCATGTGCTTTTTGTGTATGTGTGTATGTATGTATGTATGTAGGTAGGTAGGTAGGTAGGTAGGTAGGTATGTAGGTATGTATGTATGTATGCGCGGATGGATGGCTGCATGGATGGATGGATGGATGGATGGATGGATGGGTGTGTGGGTGGGTGGATGGATTGATGGTTGTAGTGTTGTATGTATGTAGGTTGGCAGGTAGATAGGTAGGCCTATTGGTTTCTGAGTATCGATGCAGGAAAACCACCTGTTTGGTTTCACGGTACCCAAATTAAAGTGTTGTGTGAGCGACGATGCAAGGACAGCAATTTGGATGTGGCACCTCCGAAAGAGAGACCTCCTTCCTCTACGGCAGCTCCAACTGCTGAAACTTTGGGCTTGAGCATCATTCCAATGGTGAAAGGAAAGCCTTCCTTTCCGACCTCTGTCTTGCTCAACAGATTCTCCGAAGGGTCGGTGGAGCAAGATGCGATCAAAGAGATGGAGAAGGCATTTCACGCGGAATTTGGTGAAGTTCCCTCTTCGCGCACAACGGACAAGTCTGCGAGCGGCGATGGTGATGGCCATCGCTCGTGTCAGGTTTGTGACTATTCGGTGGACGAAGGATTGAAGCCATTGGATTGTTCGCGCAGGGCGACACTTCCTACAAAGCCTGTTGCAGAGTTTACTCAAGAAAGGCGATCCGGTTTAGAACTTGTGATTTGTTCTTTTGTCGTTTGAAGACTATTGTTCAAGCATGGGTGGGGTTGGCAGCGTTCCAGGCTCGGTGCAGTACCTGGGAAGAACGGCAAGCCAACCATGGTTTTGAGCGCGGACTTTCATGTTTGGCTATTGAACACAAGCGAAGAGCCTATGGATGTTCCTCCGGGTGAGTTATTTGGGTTTGGCACCGGAGCCTATGTCAACCAAGTGGTGGAACGCCCCTTGGTTTGAACGTTTGCCCCTAAAGCTTGCTTGACACATGTTCTTGCAAAGCAGAAGAAAAGTAGCAAATTTTATATACTAGTACCTTCAGTTTGTATTTCCAGCAAACTCAAAAGCATTGAGGCGAAGCCGAGGAGACAACAGGATTGGTTTGGCGGCTCCTCTCAGATCGAGATATCCTCGCTTTTGAGAAATCGCCACTTCCCTTGTGTGAGCTTTTGCGAAAGCTCACAGTTGAGCAAGGGCTGGTCGACATCGATGTTGAGTTTCACGTCCTCGCCAACAAAATGCATCCTGCCAAGGTTTCTTTGATACCACTAGTTTACTTAGTTTTTTGCTGCGCATTCTTCTTACCAGTTTGTGGATACGCTGCCTGTCTGGCTCGCTTGTCACTTCGCGTCCATTGTGAGGCTGATGCTGAAGCATTACCGGTGAGCTTCAGGTGGTTTGATTACTTCTAATTTCAGTAAAAGCCAAACCATGGTTGTGACTTGTGCCAGTGGTTCACTTCTGGAGGTGGGAGGTCTCGTCATTGACGTCCAAGAAGACTTGTATCTACAAGCCGAACGCTGTGACCGCCGAAAATGGTGACGTCAAGAAGGTGTCATTTGGTGGGCTCTTCGGGAGCAATTACCATAAGGTACCGCGCAACAAAGTGGCTGCATTGACGTGGGAGGCGCCACAGCTGTTAACCCCGGGCAAGAAACGTAAACTTCTGAAATTAACATTCGGAGTTTGAGACCTTTCAACGTGAAACTGTGGTTCTGTTCTGTTGCGAGATTCCTCACTGTATTTGCATTATGTGATCGATTATACAATGTTGTTTTACGTGGTCGCACGTATTTGCTTGAGGTTCAATCAGCTTCAAGCCCACCCAAGCTCATGCCTGTGAAGCCAAAGGTGTATTTGCTAGCGCGCCTGACCATCCCAGCTGGCAGCTGCGTTGATTTGTCGGCAGCGGAAGCTGCGTAAGTGTGATCGTTGTCGTTGAGCCAAGCTTTTGAGCCCCCATGGAAATTTCCAGCTTTTCTGGTATGAGGTGTTAAAGACTGTGAGAATTTTGTATGGTGCTGTTTATGCGCGATTGTGACGATTGGGGCATTTGGTTTTCCCTCTTGGCTATAGAGCGGAGAGATCGCCGGCAGTTCAAAAAGCTGAGGTTTCTGCCAATTAGCAAGCGAAGTAGGTGTGATATGAGCTTTACTTTATAACGATATGTTTAGTTCCCTTGTTACCCTAGAATGCGCCGGCCTTGAACCCAATCTTTGCTGACAGCGGTAGTCATCCTGTCCAGTGAGCATATCATTTTGAACTTTGATTTGGTTGCCGTCCTCGTCATGCCGGTCTTGCAAACGGTGAACGATGCGGATTTGTCAGCTAGCTCAGAGGACTGGTGCTAGAAATATGTTGCTTTCATTTTCTCAGGAGCTGTTCAGTGTTCATGTCCCGGGCATTTGATATTTTCACAGGAGCTACAGCCGGTTGGAAAGGGTCAGAAGAACCGGCAGCCTAAGCCTAAACCTGCTCAGCCAAAGAAAGTCTTGCCCAAGAAGCGTCCAGCTGCAGCGATTGAGAGTTCAGGCTTATTGAAATTTCATCGAAGCATCCCTTTCTTTTTTAGGTTGAGCGAACACTTTGTTAGTGATGCAGCAGGCCACAACGAAGATGCTGTGGCAGCCGAGGAGGTCGAGCCCAGGAAATCTGCTTTGAGGAAGCGACCAGCTGCGAGAAAAAACGAGTCATCAGAGACTGGTCAGGCTGAGACTGGTCAGGATGAAGCTGCAGAAGGGATTTCAGACAAGCCTCAGCAGATGGCGGATGGACAGAAACTGTACGCTCCCAATTACTACAAGCTTTCCAACCGCTGGGGCATCAAGATAGGCAAGAAAGAGGTTTGCAGTGTAGTCTTGCTGCAAAAAGCAAAACAAACGGGAACTACCCTCTCATTGTTAAACAACTGTTTGCCTGAATGTGTCAAAACATTCTAAGCTTTTGAAGTGACTTCTCAGGTAGGTGGCAGCATCTACCCCAAGGAGACAACGAAAGAAATTATCGTTCTTTGGATGCTGTTCATATGGTATGTATGTTTACATGAAACGATCATAATGCCTTCCTTTTCGAACGGGGTTTCTGTGATCAAGGACGTGGCCTATGAGGAGTTGAAAAAGGGTGTTTCCATTGAAAAGGTCCGAGCGATGATTGCCGCTTGACAGGTTTTGTTGGGTCGAGCTGTAACAGCTGGATTCATCATGCTGGCTTTTGAGCTTTCACGCACAGAATATGATGCCTTTCATATTTTAGGCCGAAATGAAGAATGCTTTGCGCGACAAGCTCTTGAAGAAGAAAGATGCTGAGGCTGAGGTTGAACCTGAGCCAACAGGAGAAGCGACAGCTTCTCATGAAGAGGGAGCCGAAGCTATGGAGGAAGAAACGCAAACAGTAGATCCTGAGATTGATCCCGAACAGGGGCCTGCTAAGTGATGTGCTCATTGCTGCAAGGGCTAGAAAAAATAGACCAGGGTGCCACGCGATTGCTCTTGAAGCATTGGAGCATTGCTGTGTGAGTTGTGAGCATTGAAGCATTGATTATTTTTGCTGTGGAGCATTGCTGTGTGAGTTGGCGAACTTTCATCACTGTTTCCAACGCTAGGTACTTGACACATCGAACATTAGTCTTGGGAGTGAACGAGGCTGAAAGACTTTGTATTTGGTCATACTCCATGTTACCTGTTTGGAGAATTTGCCTATCTAACTTTTTGTCGTGTTGCAATGTTTGCTATGATTGAGCATGTTGTAGCACTTTACAAAAAGTGCAAGCCTCGCATTATGCAAAACTAGCCCGTGTAACATGTTTTCTCAAAAACATGTGCGGTCAAACTCATGGATCGCTGTCGCTGCCAGGTTTTCATGGACGCTGAGTTTGTGGAGGCTTTTAGGTTGCCCAAACCATTGCTTGCGACGGCAGCCACATCAACAGGTCTAGATGTGTCGGTAACCTAATAATATGTGTTGCGACCTATTATGTTGAATCGTGTCGTGGAACCTATGTGTCCGCCAGTATTGCAATGGATTGAACCACCATGCATTTGGAGTGTGACGTATGTTTCCCGAAAGCCAAAGAGCTTGGAGCTGAAAAAGCACGCAATCCGTTCTGAGAAAGCTGGCCCCAACACCCAATGATGTCAATACCTAGCCTTTGAAAGCCAGTGTTCAAACATTTTTTTTTTACGGTTCTTTACGGCTGTCTTGGCAGCACAGTCGGTGAAGGTTGTTGCAGGCGCCCCTCCCCTCGCTCCAATTTGTTTAACGCGAGAAAAATCATACATAGAAGGTGGGTGATGCGCAAACACCTTTCAACAAAAACGATCCGCTTTGAAGTCGTAAACGTGCTATCTCACAACCCTAAGAACTTTGCAGCCAGGGGTGTATATTACTTGAAAGTAAATAATTCGCTCGCGCTGCTGTTGGCTGGTTCATGCACCGACAGTGGACAGGGCTGGTTCATGCGCCAACCGTGGACAGGGACTCAAAAAACTATTGTAAATAAGACGTCCCATGCTCAGTGTGTAGCGGAGCGGGTATAGAAATCTCTATAGGTGGGGTGACGGAGCGTGAGCGCCGCTTTGATAAAGACTTAGCTTCAGCTGCGAAGTCGGCCATCCGCATTATAGTTTCTAACTTCCACTACTAAACGACAAGTAAGTCGGCTGTCAACATCTTGGCAGAACAAACGTGAGAGCTGTGGAACCCCCAATCACTTTGGAACACCCATTGACCAGAAAAAACTTTTTGAGGTGGTACCGATTTGCCAAGTATCTCCCATTCGGCTGCACAACATGGGGTACTGAATTCCTATTAACGGCTCATACACTTCTTGGGCAACTCTTGCACTCGTTGGCAGCATCAAGCTCCAGCAGTGTGGGCCTGCCACTCCCGATCTCTCAGCCGCAGTTTGCGCTTGTCGAAAGTCAAACGGGCTGTCTGGGCTGGTAGCTGCATAGCCTAGCCCCACCAACAGTCCTTCCGGGAGATCCAGGTCTACTCTGGAGAGGTCTTTGTAGGTGGATTGTAACTGGCAAGCGAAAGAGGATGTGGCTTGGACCTTCTCCGGGCGAAACCAACTTCTCCCTAGGGGCCTGTGGCCCGCTACTTTGGCAGTTTCCTCTAGGTCACTAAGGCCAAAGCCTCGGCCGTGTCGGAGGAGCTTGTGAAAGACTCCTGGTATTTCATGCGGCGTATACCAGGTGGTGGGGGCTCGCAGCCCAATGGGAGCTTTGAGTAGGAGCGTGCGATGGGCTCTCTGTCCATCAGCTACTCCACCAGGGCTCTGTTTGGGATCACCAAGTAGTAATCGAAAGAAGGGTTGTCGGGGGACTGTTGGCGCAAAGGCAGATTTGAGGTCCATGTCCTGCTGCGCCTCTTCGCTAATGAGCAGGTCCACATTCTCCATATGAGTGTTGAGTGTGGAGTGGGTTTGCCCTTTTTGGTCCCAAACAAGCCCAGTAGTGACAATCACCACGTGGCAGCCGGGGATG